AGCAGTCAATTTCGTCGATTGCGAAAATGAAAGCTCAACAAGTAGAAGAAGTTAGAGTTCCGGTATTCGCAGCCGTTTTTCTCTCTCTTGTTACGTAGGTGAAGGAAGGCATGACGCGTTGCCATTTACTAACCTATTATCAACTTATCTGGCGTGGCCAATGTAAATTATTAACGTAGTTAATGGGGCAAGAACTGAGTAGGGCCGTTTGACGCCAACACACTTGGTTTTAACTTCTCCCGCAACTTAACCGTAGATAAGGGATAGAATTGCGTTGAGACCGATTGACGCCAACACACCTGGTTTCAACTTCTCTCGCATCTTATCTAGCATGGCCATGGCAATGTACATATAACCGTAGATAGGGGGAAGAATTGTGTTAAGACGGATGGACGCTAACACGCCCGGTTTCAACTTCTTCGGGTGAAATGACTAATGAACGCAGGAGATCAATCTATCAAACATGGTCTATCAAACATTTGTATCCATTTTACTTTTATTTATTATTTACTTGTTCCAGTTTTCCGTTACTTATGGTATATATGTTCCGTTTCTATTTTATTCTATTTTATAGTCACGCGTTTGAATAGTGGGAATTCCCCACCAAGTGTGGATTAGCAATGCTTAACCATTCTTTATTGTTAATATCAACACTTGATATATGAACATGGAATATCATATTATTTTTGGCTGTTTCATTTCAGACTTGGGGTATAAACAGGAAAATATCCATAACCTTTCAACACGACTATCTTGTGAAATTTAACGAAGAGCTTTCGCGACGAATTGGAACCAAATAAGCGAAAAGAGCGATTGATCACTCGCGCTAATACCTCGCCGTGATAATTAATGTCGCGCTTATCAAATAGCAATATGACGACAAAAGAGAGATTGCGTAATGAACCAAAACGACGGATTCCTCGCGGACCGTTGAAAATTTAACTGCTATCATATATAAATAAATATGAGCCTGTGTGTTTATTCTGTGCGAGATCCATTTTCTATTACAAAATCTTGATGTTCTGTTAACGGTTTTATCGTTATATATCAGTCCGGACTTGGCCTTGCTCATGATGTTTTTCACAATTCCTCTCAATATTTCGGCCATATATGATTAACTGTCTTACCAAATGCGGCAACTTATTTTGATTTATCGTCGACTTGAATACCACCGGCACTCGACCAAACTTTTGTCAATCTTGGCCGATAGGATCGCCGACTTGAGTTAGCAAATAAATGTTGTGAGTGTAAAATAAATGTCACAAAATGCATTGTTTTGCGATATAACTTTGTATTTTCGGAGAAGGCATGTCATATAAGTTCGGTATTTAAATTATACGCAAATAAATAATATTTGATCTAAATTTATCGCAAATAATGTTATAAACATTCAGTCCGCGAAATGATTGAATGTAAAATGAAGCATGGTAATAGGAATATCGTCAATAAGTCGACATCAATAATTATTATTATAAAAATGCTAACAAGGCAGTAATGTCGGATAATGCAGAAAACGCTGCAAAAACAAGTCTTCGTCGCGAGGAAATCGTTGTTGGTTAATAAATTAGAAACCCGTAATTTTTATTCAGTACTCAGGTGGTTTTAAAAAACTATCGTTTCCATAAATATCCGTATACCAGTGTCGGTAATGATAAAATAAAATTGATCGCATAAAAATGGGACGGTTAATTTGCGAAGGTGATAAAGAAAAACCAAAGCTAACACAAAAGATAAAAATCAGAATAAAATTAATTTGAATTCACTCCTTGATAGTTGTCTTTAACATCTGCCGCCGGCGTGTAGTACTGCCAAGAATAGGAAAACCCATCTTCAATGTCCCATTCGGAAAAAAAGTGGATTCAATTGGTTGTTACGATAGGTTTAAATGCGTGGAAAAATATCGCAATTACGGGCCTAAAGCCTAAACAAAACCTAGGGTGTTTTCTTTTTTGGTATTTTACATCCGCTTTTCAATCAAAAACTTTGGTATGTGGATTCAATCCTTCATTAACTTTAGCATCTGTCACCGATGGCGATGAATATAATATAATATTAACTAGTTTTAACTAGAAAGTTGTTTCTACCCGCACGACCGAGCGTTTAAATTCATGGAATTGATCGGAATCCTGATGAGAAAAGCATTGCTATCCTATTAAATGTCCAAATAATTTCAATTCTAAATCAAAGTATAGAATTACAAATAATTTAACACAGAGTTTGCGGCCCACTTTGAGATGCGTGGCGGCCCACCGGTGGGCCACGGAGCTGATGACCCCTTGCTGGATTTACAGGATTTACATATTTATCCCGGGGGAGAGGAAAGCCGATAAGACGGCTTATCCATATGGCGAACCACGGCCTCTCGTCCGGTTACCATTCCAAGTCGGGTATGGGATTAGATTTACTGTATTGTTTGTTTTCGGAAGCATGGACTTGGTGGTGGAGGAAGCCGTAACCGACCAGCGGTTACGTGAACCACCCATCGACGGCGAGGAGTCCAGCAATCCTCTCGCACATAACCATCCCTGCATGGGATTCGAACCTGCGAACCCACGCAGAGTAGTTAGAGGTGCGGTGGCGAGCGTATTCCTAACGCTTAGCCCGTTGAGCCACACCGCCGCAGAGTCATTGTTACGGAAGTCGTTGTCCTGGAAACAGCCTTAAGCCACGCCCCACGTCATTCATGCGTAACTGTGTAAACATATCTGTGATGCAGCAAAAGCGGAAGTTACCATAGTTATCCTGAATGTGGGCTGCAATTGCCAGTTTTGTAATGGCAGACACGGCCAGACGGCGATAGCTTCTGTTCAAGCATTTGATGTATGCTTTAATTGAAAGTATATTATTTCAGGTACCAACTTAGGTGTTCTGGGTCGTTTTTCATTTTAGAAGTGGGTCAAGTTTGAATTCATTGAGGTAGATAGGATAGGATTTACATATTTATCCCGGGGGAGAGGAAAGCCGATAACACTGCTTATTCATATGGCGTATCACGGACTCTCGTCCTGTTACCATTCCATGATGGGTATGGGATTAGTTAGACATGCTGATATGCCAGTCTGGATTTCATGGCCTTTTTGAACAAGAAATCGGGCGTGCAATCAGAAATTCCCGCGTGCAAATAAGAATTTCTGGCGTGCAATTATAGCTCACGGCGTGCAAAACAACTGCGCCCGCGTGAAACTGACTTCGATCTAAGATACCTCTCAATACATCCGCGTAAAATTACCGGAATTGGATGAAAAATATGTTGAATCATAGCAAAAATGGACGTTTGACCTTTGACCCCCAAACATTATTTCTACAGTTTGTTGCTAATTTTGAGAGTGGTTGTGCGACTTTGGTTACCGGTACTGTTCAGTACATCCGTGTAAAATTATTGTATGAAAAATACGCTGAATCAAAGCCATAACTGGCCAGCGTCGGTGAGGAGGCGATCTTTCTCACGGGATTCCTGTCATTCAACAGGATATGGTGTTTTTTGCTTCGCATTTTTCGATCAGGCCGAACTTGCAATCTAGTATTAGTCGACAATTGTGAAGTTATAATTTTTTGGCATCTTTATATTACTAGATAATTGATTTACAAACTATTTAAACCGATTTACATTAATGAGCAATTGCAAATTTTCGGCGTGCAAAAATGAATTCGCTCGCGTGCATTTTTTGTGGAGCGCTAGCGCCCTCGGGCGTGCATCTGCCATGGAATCCAGTCTGGCTGATATGACTGGATGGGGCCAGATAAGTTAATCTGTTTCACTGCTTTAGTGAAATTTAAAACTTGATTTCCTATCATCTTGAATTTTCTTTCCAGGGTCATATTATCTAACTTTGATGTGTGGATTTTATTTCAAATTCATTGGAATGGTAGCACAATTGAGTCTCATGTAGTTTTGGGTTCCCGTATATTTGAACCCACGGCAATTGCACCTGCATACTATTGCACCTATGGAAATTATTTTGTTTTACGGATATTTGAACCCATACTAACCCTAACCTAATGGTTTGAGCATCCGGATATAGCTTGAACCTGCGGATATACGCATGGGTTTAAAAGTACGTGGGTTCAAATGTACGGTCACCATAGTTTTGTACCTCAAGTATTTGTGGTGGGCGTAGCATGACGATTTTTGCAAATGTCAATCCTAATGAAATGTTGCTGCAGCGAACCAATGCATGTTGGCTGCAATGACAGGTCTGCCCCCGATGTGACAGACTTTGGGTAAGATGGAACATTTTTCTTACGAATACAGTTTCAATAGATTTGGGGTTAGGTTTCAGGTTTAAGTAGATATAATTCAACATGACAAACTAAAATCTAGTAAATGACTTTGTGAATTTACTGATAATAGCGCCATAAAACCATGGAAAGAGACGCCACGGTTCGACCGTGGCAGGAGCTTACACAAAGCGGTAGGAACTGCGCCTCGTTAGGGTTGACATATGCAAAAATTGTTATGCTACGCCCACTAGAAGTACTTAAGGTACGAAACTACACTAGATCCGCACAATTTTATATTTAAAACAAAGCAATACAGTCATTTGTATAGGCGTTTAATATTTATAATATCGATTTGTATAAATTGATGTGGATCAAACACTTATTTGGACATTGTGATCGGTAGTTGTAATCGGTAAAAGATACTATGAACCTCAGCTAAAACATCTGAGTTTATTTTAGTCCAATCAGACACTAATATACTATATATACTAATATATACATATCACTATATATATCACTAATATATACACTAATAATATCCAGAGGGGCCAGACGTCCCCCAGAAGAGGGGTGTTTGTTCATCGCCCAAATGGGATTCTCTAAAACGAGACCATGACTCTCGATCTGTATAGTGTGCCGTAATGTTATAGGTATCAGATAGGATTTACATATTTATCCTGAAGGAAAGATAAGACGTCTTAACCCTATGGTGAATCACAGTTACCAGTCCATGACGGGTATGGGATTAGTTTGCCTGTTATTTGTTTTCGGAAGCATGGACTCGATGTTATATATTAGTTGTTGAAATAAGAAAAGATATTGGTTGATATAGAGCTGTGTATTTTGTATGTGTATGTGTACCAATATGAAAGTAACTAATTTTATTTGCCTATTTTACATCAAGTTATGTAAAGGGACTGAAACCTATGGGAAAGGGGGATATTCACTTGGCTAACACATACGGTACCCGAACTTGTAATAAGAAATGAAATAAGGAAAATCGGAATAAAATTATGGCCTTACCTGGTACACATACTACGGGAGTACCATTTTTCAAATGAAAATGAGATTATGCACTTACTTCTTAGTTAAGCTCGGGAATTTCAGCTTGTTCAGATGTAGTTATTTAAATAAGTTGCAAATGTTCTGCAATAACTGATTATGGCACATTAAATAGTCTGACCAACAATTTTATAAAAATCGTTCAACTAAATTTGACTTTTGATAATAATCTCAGTACCTTCTTTTATCAGTATAAAGTAAAAGTGATCATTTAGAATATAAATAAATGCACTTTACTTCATTTAGTGTCACCGGTAATTTGACAATACCTATTCCCAGTCGCCCTGATCCATTGTGTAAAATAAACATTAATATCTTGCAGTCAATCATATATAAGCAATAAAAATGGAATGCGATTTGGGCATTGATATTAATGAACATAATGCCTCAATGATGGAAAGACTTGATTTTATGAGGAAGGAAAAACAGTCATGTGATTTTATCATAAAAGTGGGAGAAGAGAAGTTTCACGTTGATAAAAAAATTATGATGGCAGCGTCGGATTATTTTGTTGCCATGTTTTCACACAATACATTGGAAAGTAGTAATGGAATTGTTGAAATGAAGGATGTGAATGAGGAATCGGTAAAAATTTGCATTGATTACATTTACACTGGAAAAGCTTCGATTACTTTGGAAAAAAGTGAACAACTACTCCATGTTGCAACTTTGATGCAGTTGTCAGTACTTTGTGATAAGATAGCTGAGTTTCTCAAAGCTAAGTTGAATCCAGAATCCTTTTTCAACATCAGAAGAATTTCTATTAAATATTGCAATCAGGCTTTAAAAAAGTTTTGTGACGATTTTGCATTATCGAATCTTGGCGCAATTGCAAAAAAAAAGGACCAGTTCAATCATCTTGATGTAGAATATATTCTATTCCTTGTCGGGCCTGATAATGTTGGCTATTCTGAAGATTCTAAAATGGCAATATTTCTTCATTGGATCAAGTTTGATATTGATAATCGTGGTAAATATTTCACAGATAATATAAGCAATCAAAAAATGAGTCAACTTTCAGCTGGATACACATCTTATTTGGTTGAGAATGAAAGTATTTGCTCCGAATCAGCTGAATTTTTAAAAAAGGCCTTTTTGAAATTGTCAGTGAAAATTGGGGTCAAAAGTTCTTCTGTGCGAATACCAGACTCTGTGTCATTGGCTAAACTGTTTGTTTTTGACAAAACGTCAAAAAGTGTTCAGACTTTTGATCCCGAAGACAAGTCTTGGACAAAGTTACACAATATGAACGAAAAGCTGATAAAAACGGAATATACAGCTGCGAGCCTGAATGGTTATTTATATGTTATGTTTTCAAACTGTAAAGTACAGCGGATTAACATTATGGAAATAAATTCAACCTGGATGATTTGCGCTGATTTGATAAAGAAGCACGGTGCATTTATGAGGTCTGTTGTTCATAGTGACAATATATATGTTTGTGGTGATAATTGGATGGAAACGTGCAATCCTGCTCAGAATGAATGGACATCGGTTCCAACTAATTCAATACCTTGCAACGAATGTGCTTTGGTGTCTTGTAAAGATCTATTGTTTGTAATTGGTGGGAAAGATAGTAGTGAGAAAAAAGTGAATACAGTTAATAAATATTCTCCCTCCACATCTACCTGGACAAGGTCAACACCGATGAAGATTCAAAGACAGTCTCCAGGTGCTACTGCCAGTGATGGAAAGATATTTGTTGTGGGTGGATATGCTGGACCTCAAAATTATATTTCAGATATGGAATGCTACAATGTATTGACTGACACATGGATCACACTTTCATCACTGACTATTCCACGTGATAATTTTGCGCTCTGCCTCATTAACGACAAGTTGTACGCTGTTGGGGGAGAAAAATCGTCACCACAGACAATTGAATGTTACAACATTTCAAACAACAGCTGGAAAGTCATAGAAAAGATGACAAACATGGTTATAAGGGCCTCGGCTTCAGTTGAATCTTCACAAGAATGTTGAAGGAATGATAATCATATTTATCTCGACTGGACAGTTTGCTAAGTATTAGGAACATTCATGTAAACGATTAGCTAGGTTGAAATTTTTTCGTCCTGTTGAAGTTAAAAAAAACTATCATTTGGATTTATTGCTGTTAATTGATCAAGAACTGAGAATGTTCAATTTCATTCCTTTGACTTGGACAAAGTAACTAAAACTAATAGAGTGATGGCGAACCACTTACTCGAGGGTCACAAAGGGACCTTACATGTTTTTTCAGTGACCCACTGGGTCGTGAAATAATGCAAATAAATATTCGGTAATAAATATTGATAATAAATCTTGCTTTAATTCAATCTAATAATAGGTGAACTATACTTGTGAGGGGTAATTGGTAATATTGAAAGAGTGGCAGAAGGGTGTCACAGCTTGTTATCTTCACAGATTTCTATGACTCCCTTTACCTGTGATACTTATTTTGTGAAAATTAATTATGTTTAATGTCCATTCAATACTACTGCACATGTTGTACATTGTTTACCACAGAGGGCAGCCTGAAGTTGGTCGAAGCATCAGAACAGATTTTTCACATGTTTTCTTTTGCTTGTATCACCTTTTCATTCTGTTGTTACATCAGAACAGATTTTCCATACATTTGTTTGTTTTGCCTTGTATCGCCTCTTTGTTTTGTTCTCACAGAAAATCTAAATAAACTTTACTTTTAACTTTACCAGTTTGCAGCTACCGACATTAATGTTGTTACAATGTTTATGACTTAAAAATACAATAGACCAAATGTAACAACTACAACAATATGAAATAGCGATGATAGGATGATAGTGATGTGGTTTAGAATCAATTGAAAAATATTTTTTACTGAGACAGATTCCCTTAATTTAAATCAGTCGTAGATTTACTATGATTATTAACGTTTGTCTCAGTTCTGATATGAGTGCTGTATGTGTAAAGCTAAAAAACTACACAATACTTTCCAAGGTTGATAAAACCTGCGGTAAATATGCAAAAGCAAGTTTCTAATCCAGATGTTGTTTAAACATTTATGACCCACAGTTTACATTTTCTTAAAAAAATATTGAAACAGGTTCATCATCACTGATCAAGTAAATACATGTTCCAGGAATTGTTTCTCTTTTTTTATTGTATTTTTTTTCATTTTTCTCGTTGCAATTATATTTTTTCATTTATGTGCTCAAGTCGGTGTGACTTGTTACATCTACTCATATACTATGTTTCATTTAATTTCAGTATGGTTCAATTAAATACCATCCATTTGTCATTTTTTATCAAGTGTATGTTATTCATTGGCATATTTTCAATCACTAAATCCCACACATTTTGTGGTGTGTTCATGTTTATTTGCTTCTCATTGATATTTTGTGCAAATGCATTGCTTATTTGACATTTCGCATTTGCACGACATTGAGTTAAACCACACATAGCTTTCCATTGCTTGATAATTCTATCAGTTGCATGACTGTACCAAAATATAATTCCTAGTTCTAGGTTTGAAAAGGTAGTTTAGTCATTATTGTTTTATGATTTTTATCATTAAACATGTCTATGATGTTCTGGCCCAGTTTAAAAGGTAGTTTAGGCATTATTGTTTTAGAATTTTTGTTATTATTATACATGCCTATGGTGTTCTGGCCTAAGGTAATTATCAGACATTAGACCAGTGGTTCTCAAACTATTTAAGCCGCACCTCTGCAGAACTTGTCAAGTCTCGTGCCCCACCTAAAAAATACCTAAGACTTATCCTTTGTTTGATATTATTTGAGCTTATTGGTCTGTAAAAACTTATTCATACAAAATGGAATTGACTTTCTCGTTTATAATAAGCTAAGTCTGTGATAAGCAATGACAAGTAATATTTAAAAGGAAATGCCAACCTGAAAATGATTTAAAAGAGCTATTTATGTGATGACATGGTCCTCTGAGGTTGAAGATTTCAGCTCAGGTTACTCATTTCGCTACAATAAATTTTTGGCTTGTAACATTGTAAAATAATAATTTATCTGTGATGCAGGTGCTTGATATTTGACCACCATATTTATCAGTTTAGTCACTAGAGATAAATCTTTTACAATTCAGGCAAATATGTGAATGAGCTGAGTCTGACGTTTTTCAAATAGTAGCGACATGTACGTCATCCTTAGGTTTATAGCTCAGGTATCATTTTTCTGGCAATTGCAGGTTTTGTGTTTGAATGTTTTTATTGTTCACAAGTTATTTCTCGGTTTTGAAATATTAATAATTTCATTCATTATTTCAATTTGTATCTTGGGTGTATGAAAATGAGAGGAATATATTAATTTAGTGAACGAGCACAAAAATATTTACTTCGTTATCAACATTCAATTTATTACAGCTAAGAAATATTATATTTATCACACTTGTCTACTGTAACTATTTCAACATGGCTGCTAATTTTGGCATTCAAGATAATGAACACAATAATTTGATGATGCAAAAGCTTGATGATATGAGGAAAAAAAAGCGACTTTCTGATTTTACAATTAAAGTTGGAAATGAAGAATTTCCAGTTCATAAGAATGTAATGTCAGCCGGTTCAGATTATTTTGATGCAATGTTGTCTCATGATAATTTGGAAAGCAACACAGGAATTGTTGATATGAAGGAAGTCGATGTTGATTCAGTCAAAATTTGCATAGATTACATTTACACTGGAAATGCTTTGATTACTTTGGAGAAATGTGAACAACTACTCCATGTTGCAAATTTTATGCAAATGTCAAGATTTTCTGAAATGATCGCAGAATTTCTCCAAGCAAATTTGCTTCCCAAATCTTTCTTTATCATCCGACAACTCGCATTAAAGTTTAGTTTGAAGGGTTTAGAGGTAGCATGTGGTGAATATGCTGTCGGCCATCTTGGTTCAATAGCAGAAGAAGTAGAATTTAATCAGTTTGATAGGAATTATGTTGTCTTTTTGCTGACCCATGATATGTCATCATATTCCGAAGATTCCAAACTTAAGATTTTGCTACAATGGATCAAATATGACGCTGAGACTCGAACAGAATATTTTATAGAAATGGTAAAGAAGCTCAACATTAGCAAAATTTCCACCAGTTATGGTTCATATCTAGCTATGAATGATTCTTTTTGCTCAAGTTGTGTCGAATTTATGAAATTATTGTACTTGGCTGATAAATCCCCTCATAAAAATCAAGAAGTAGACGTCCCTTCACATTCACCTCTTGTTCATGGAGGCATATTGCTTTTTGATGGGAAATCTGAACATATGAAATTGTACCAACCTATTATTAGAAGGTCGACTCAGTTTAATTATTGCCTTGATTTCTTGCCAAAATACAAGTACACTGCTGTCTATTTGCAGAAATTTGTTTTTGTTCTTCTGCCAGGAAAAAAGGTTTATCGTGTGAATGTGTGGGAAGCCAAATCAAGTTGGACTGAGATGGAGAGTATGATGAATGATCATGGACAATATATTAGAGCTGCAGTTCATAACAAATTCATTTATGTTTGTGGAAATAAAACAATGGAGCGATATAACGACAATACAAACAAGTGGAATAATGTTGATTGTTCCAGTATCAAACCCAATCGAAGTGCCTTAGTTAGATTCAGAGATGAGATTTATGTCATTGGAGGCTTTTATAGAGGTCAAAAAGTTGACAAATATTCTCCATCTGTAGGATCTTGGCCATCTGTGAAAGCAATGAATGTTGGCAGACAAACTTCTGCTGCAGCTGTATATGAGGATCGAATCTATGTTGCTGGTGGGTATCTTGACAATCATTTTGGTCAAGATATATCAAGTGCTGAATTCTTCAATCCAGATGATAATACTTGGACAAATGTGGCTTCAATGACAATTCCAAGAGATGAATTTAGTCTTTGTGTTGTCAACAACAACTTGTTTGCTGTTGGAAATAGATCTGAGCCTTATTCTATTGAAAAGTACAATCTAGATAAAAATCAATGGGAGAAAGTGACTGATTTGGCTGATAAGGAGATAATGTCTGCTGCTTCGATTGCAATAAGAATCCCACTGTATTGAATTGACTGTTGATGGAAGTGCCTTAGTTTTCAATTTGAAAGGCTTAGAAAAATCATGTGATGAATATGGTGTTATCCATCTTGGATCAATAGCAGAAGAAGTAGAATTCAACAAACTTGATAAAGATTATGTTATGTTTTTGATCACCTACAAACGGTCATCATATTCAGAAGATTCTAAACTGTCGGTTCTTTTACAATGGATCAAAGCTGAGGTAGAAACTCGAGCTGAGTATTTTATAGAAATGGTTCAGAAGCTCCAAATTGACAAAATTTCTAGCAGTTATGGATCATGCTTAGCCAGAAATGATTCGTTTTGCTCGAAGTCTCTAGAATTCATAAAATTATTGTACCTGGCCGATAAATCGTGTGATAAGATTGAAAAAGTAAATGTATGTCCGTCTTCTCCCTTTTATGATGAAGGTGTTTTGCTTTTTGATAAGAAATCTAAATTTTTGCAAGTGTATTGTCCAATCGAGGAAACATTCGATAAGTTGAAGCAACTCAATGAAAACATGCTGTGTGGCAAATACACCGCAGTTTGTTTGCAGGAATTTGTTTTTGTTCTTTTACCAAACAGAAAGTTTATCGTGTCAGTGCATGGGAAGCTCAATCAACTTGGACTGAGATGGAGAATATGATGAAAGAGCATGGACAATGTATCAGAGCTGCAGTTCATAACAACTTCATTTATGTTTGTGGGAAGAAAACAATGGAGCGATACAACAACAATGGAAACAATTGGGAGAATGTTGCGTGTTCTACTATCGAACCCGATGAAAGTGCATTAGTTACATTTGGAGATGAGATTTATGTCATTGGAGGCTATAATAGAGGTAAAAGAGTTGATAAATATTCTCCACATATAGGATCTTGGTCATCTGTGAAACTAATGAATGTTGGCAGACGAACTCCTACTGCGGCTGTATATGATGATCGAATCTATGTTGCTGGTGGGTGGAATGGGTCATCTTACTTATCAAGTACTGAATTCTTCAATCCAGTTTATAATACTTGGACAAATGTTGCTTCTATGTCAATTCCACAAGACAAATTCGGCCTTTGTGTTGTGAATAAAAACTTGTTTGCTGTTGAAATAGAGTTCGAGCCTTATTCTATTAAAGAGTATGATCCTAAAAAACAATGGAAGAATTGGACTGATATGGAGATTATGACCACCGCTTCAATTGCAATAAGAATCCCATTGTATTGGTTTGACTGTCTATGAAAAAACTGTTTACAAAGCAGAGATAATTGTGTTTAGTAATATTTTCTTTGCCGTTTGTAGAATATATTCCGTTTATCAGTCAGACTTGTTTGTGAAACTCAACTTTTAACTTTCGCGTTTATTCAAACTTTTACTGATGTGCTATTTTTATTGTTTTTCCATTTCATTCCAAAATTTTCTGCCATGTAAATAAATGAAATATATTTTTGATGGATGGTGATATTATCTAATATGGTTGTCAACCAGTAACATCCCTTTTTATGGTAAATTGATATTCTCATACTGTATAATTGTCAGCAAGCAGTTGATAAATAGATGATAAGATTATAACTGATTGTAATATAATTTTTTTTTAATCAAAGCCAAGCGCCAACCCCTTTACGGTGTGTTGAATTCGTATTGACACAGAATAGTCGAAGGCAACTATTTACGGTTAAATACAAATTTCTTTGTTCCTGCAGATAGGTCAATAAATAGAGGTTGACACAAGACTTGAAATGATTCCAATTTACACTGTCACGGAAATGACTGGAAGAGAAAATTACACATACGGAGGTTCTTTAGAAAAACCTACCATAGCATGTGTTCAAACCCTATTTACTTTTGCTCAAAAATTGTCATCATTATGGTATCATAGCATTTCATGTGCTGGTATTATTATTTTTTTCTATTTCGATCCATTATTTTCTCTCACTGTAAAATGTGTACAATACTAGTTCATTGATGATGATATTATCCAGCATTTGTAACATTCATTTTTATTATGATGAAGGGATAGTCTCATACTGTATGTTTATCCGATATTGATATATCGGATTAATATTTTTAATACAAGCAAGATAGTTTATAAGAATAGTTCATTAGCAACTACTGACAGATATATACAAATGATTCCTTCCTGCGGATAGGTTAATAAATAGGGGGTTGTCACAAGACGTGAAATGACTCCCATTTACACTGCCAGGGAAACTGCTGGAAGAGAAAAATACATAAAGGTCATTTTCTTGGGGAAAATGTACCATAGTAAAATATGCGGTCAAATCTGAATTACTTTTGCTCAAAATTTTTTCATCAGACATTATTACACAAAGCTTGCTTATGTATTCATATCCTGAACTGGAAACATGGGCATTGTGTTCCTGATATTTTCATATATAGCTGAGTCCTGATACTCCATATGTAGCAACTACAAACCGATTTCATTTGAAATTTGTCAATATTATTTGAGCTTTTAACTTTCTAATGCTATTTTCTTGATGATGATGAATGATTATGATTACTACTGGGAATAGTTAACCGGTTATTTGGTTGTGAGAAATAAATCAAATAATTGTATGAAGATGAGTATTAAGATAGCTGATTATGAACATTTGACAATGATAAAATCAGAATCAGTTTCAGGTCGAAATACATTGTTCAAGATTTTATTGCAAAATGGTATATTTAATGTCATCCAACAAGTGCGCAGTTGATGCTGTTTTTCTTTATGATATCTTAAAGTTGAATCTGCACATCGAGCACTTAAAAATTTGTCACATAAATGACATTTAATATCGGGATCGGGTTTTACTAAAATACTTCCATATATCCGAACCACTCTTGCAGCAGAGCGATCATGAAACTACCTCGATTCGTGAATAATTAGAGCGATGCCGGATTAAGATCGCGCGAATATACTTTGGGACCATTATGACGCAACAAGCCTAAATTACAAATTATTGTTTGAAACGTCACGCTGCAGTTAACCGGTTACAGTGTCTTCCCTCAAATTACCAGCCCTAATTATGATTCCTAAATGTGATCTACTTAACTTAGTAGTACTAAGATCTTCTAATTTTGGTATTGTTTAATTTTATTATTGCAAGGTTGAAGTGGCCAGCATGGATTTGAAACTGACAACATTATATGTACCTGATAAAAGTAAAAGTTCATTTCATGCAGTAAAATTTTGTATTTTTCCGCTGTGATTTCATGTATTCTAACAAATGAATTATGATCTTCTATTTCTTCATTGTATATTGTCTATTACAGATATTAAAATACTGTTAAGCTATTTAAATAGTGTTTAAATATTGAAGAAATATTGAACTTCATGGTGTGGATATTGGCAATCAAAGACAATCTGCAGTATCAAACAAAAATTAACCTTAATGACAAAATATTAATAAAAACTATCAGGATTTATTGTAAACTTGTTTTGAAAGATTCACAATATCACATATAGGTTTCAATGCTTTGGGAATAGTTTTAATTTTGAAATGTTTGCGTGAATCTTTCCATTCCAATATGGGCGTCTGTATTCACTAAATTGAACAATGGCACTATGAGTCACTTTTTTGAGTTGGTATTTCTGATTGTGGCATATTATCTTAATTAATGGTTGAAAGTGTTTTGAGGTGTTTAAATGCAGCTAGTTTACATTGAATTATCTGATTTAACAATTTCATTGTGTCCATAGCTTCTCCAAGTATGATTTTTGTTCACCCTCAATAGCTCATATCTATGTGATTTTATGTTAAAGTTTCGTAGACAATCAATCTTCTCGGCTTTTCTATGCAGACTAAAATTGCGATAAGCGTAGTGCACATAGGTAAATGTAGTTTAAAGATGATACCCACCCAGTCATGTTTTAGTTATCAAAAAGCTTCAGAAGATCGATGTTTTTAAATGCATTACGCGCTCATAAACATTCATATTCAATCACACATCATAGAGGAAACATTATAGCCCTTGATTGTCCAACCGACTTGTGTATGTAGACACTTATAAAAAATATTGATAACATTAAGAGCATTCACAGTGATTAACATTCCTTTATTTGTTCAAATGATACTTCTTTTTCTGATACAGTGACTTTATTGTTTTTATGTATTTTTTGATTAGCTTATCACATTCAGTATGCTAGATACAGATCACCGTGTTAGGTTAATGCATTTCATTGTGCTATATTGTGGAATAACTTCAGTTAAAAGAGGGTAACCAGAGGATTATCTGTATGTAGTGTGAGAATTTCAGGGGAAATACTTTAACCGTTAACCGAATAAAATGAACCGGTTAACCGCAGCGTAGCTTTTGACATAATAATTTATAATTTAGCTTGTTATGGCTCCAAAGCAATTTAGCGTGATGGTGATCTTATCCCAGTATCGCTCAAAATTATTCACGGATAGTGATAGTTCCATTCAATAAAATATATAAAACAATATATTTTGACCGAAAACTGATTCTGAATTTATCATTTTCAAATTTTGATATTCAGCAACCGTGGTACTTCAATTATTTTTCCCATTTAATGGGTCCTTACCAATACAGTTAGTGATATTTTTTTGAATTAAACGCCACAGGAGATAAATTTGCAATGACGTAATCATTGTTGAAGAAATTGTACATCCTAAAGATGATTTTTACCTGAGTCACTTAACAGTTAAAATCAATCGTAACCGTTAATTAGCTAAAATCGGTTAATTGATTAACCGGTTAACCATTCTCAACCATATTTTTATGTTTTAACCCATATTGTTTAGCATATATATTGCTTACAGAAAGTTCCACATCCCTCAAAAGTGGGAATAATAATTGAAAGGTTGCAAGTAAACTTCGACCTGTTAAAAACTATGTGTAGGTTTATTCATGTTTTATGGAAACGGTAGATGATGTCCTTCATAAGATATTTTAGACACTATGAAACAAGCAACTAGTCTGGGTTTGTTGCAAAGCAGGAATTTTGAAAATATTAAAATCTGAACAACTTGATTTTTATTTGAATATTCTTACAAATAACTTTTTAGGCAACGTTAGCTGAAGGTTCATTCAAACATTTTCATCAAGTATTTTCAATGACTAAATCTCAAACATTTTGCCTCTTCTATCGTTTGCAACTTTTGTTTAAAAATCATGTTCATTTGCTTCTCATTGATATTTTGTGCAAATGCATTGCCTTGAAGTTGACATTTTGCATTTTATGACATTGAGTTGAACCACACATGGCTTTCCATTGTTTGACAATACTATCAGATGTATGCAATTGACTGTAACAGAATATGATTTGTAAGTCTTGTTTCGAAAAGGTAGTTCAGGCATTATTGTTTTAAGATTTTCATCATTAAACACGTCTATGATGTTTTAGACTGGGGTAAATATCAGACATTAGACTCTTTGAGATCTGAAGTGAGAACTTAATTCATTATTTCAATTTGTATTCCGAGTGTATGAAAATGGAATAAATATATTAATTTAGTGAACAAGCACAAAAATATTTGATCAATAATTAATTTCATTACAGCTAAGAAAGATTATATATTTATCACACTTGCATTTTTATGACTATTTCAACATGGCTGCTGAGTTTGGCATTCAAGATAATGAACACAATAATTTCATGATGCAAAAGCTTGATGATATGAGGAAAGAAAATCGACTTTCTGATTTTACAATCAAAGTTGGAAACGAAGAATTCCCAGTTCATAGGAATGTAATGTCAGCTGGTTCAGACTATTTTGATGCGATGTTGTCGCATGATAACTTGGAAAGCAACACAGGAATTGTTCATATGAAGGAAGTCGATGTCGATTCTGTGAAAGTTTGCATTGATTATATTTACACTGGAAAGGCTTCAATTACTTTGGAGAAATGTGAACAACTACTCCATGTTGGGAATATAATGCAATTGTCAAGATTTTGTGAAATGATCGCAGAATTTCTCCAAGCAAATTTAGGTTCTAAATCTTTCTTCATCATCCGACAACTCGCAATAAAGTTCAATTTGAAAGGTTTAGAAGAATCATGTGATGAATATGCTGTCGGCCATCTTGGATCAATAGCAAATGAAGAGGAATTCAACGAACTTGATAAAAATTATGTGATGTTTCTAACGACTTCTTACAAATCATCATATTCCGAAGACTCTAAACTGAAAATACTCCTGCAATGGATCAAAGCTGATATCGAGTCTCGAGCTGAGTATTTTATAGAAATCGTGAAGAAGTTCAACATGGGTGGAGTTTCCATCAGTTATGGTTCTTATTTAGCTTTGAATGATTCATTTTGCTCCAGGTGTTCAGAATTCATGAAAATATTGTATTTGGCCAATAAATCATGTGATAATGCTGAGGAAGTAAATGTATCTCCGTCTTCTCTTATTCGTGATGAAGGTGTTTTGCTTTTTGATAAGAAATTCAGAGCTGTGCAATTGTATTGTCCTATAAAGTATACATTAAATAAGTTGAAACAACTCAATGAAAACATGCTACGTGCTAAATATACTGCAGTTTATTTGGAGAAATTCGTGTTTGTTCTTCTGCAAAACAGAAAGGTTTATCGTGTCAATGTGTGGGAAGCCGAATCAAGTTGGACTGAGATGGAGAGTATGATGAATGATCATGGAGAATATATTAGAGCTGCAGTTTATGACAGCTTCATTTATGTCTGTGGGAATAACACAATGGAACGATACAACATGGATGAAAACAAGTGGGAGAATGTTGATTGCTCTAGTATTAAACCCAATCAAAGTGCATTAGTTACATTTAGAGATGAAATTTATGTCATTGGAGGCGATAATAGAGATAAAAGAGTTGATAAATATTCTCCGTCTGTAGGTTCTTGGTCATCTGTGAAACCAATGAATGTTGCCAGATTGGTTCCTGCTGCAGCCGTATATGATAATCGAGTCTATGTTGCTGGTGGGTATTGTGACAAAATGAAACCGTTATATCAAGTACTGAATTCTATGATTCAGAATGTCATACTTGGACAAAACTTGCTTCAATGACAATTCCAAGGTTGGATTTCAGCCTTTGTATTGTTAACAAGAACTTGTTTGTCGTTGGAAATATGTCTGAGCCCTATTCTATTGAAAAGTATGATCTTCATAAAAATCAATGGGAGAAGGTGACTGATTTGTCTGATATGGAGATTATGTCCAATGCCTCGATTGCAGTAAGAATTCCACTGTATTGAGTTGGACTATCGATGAAATATCTGTTTCTGTGGTTCAAAATCTCCATTGCTGTAATGCATTCACATATAACCTATAATGTAGTGTGCACAATTTTTTTCATTTACCGTATTTGTTTAGACTTAAATTTAGTTGTAGTTTACTGCATATCATTTCATGTGCCATTAATATTTTTCTTTATTCTGTTCCATTATTTTCTTTCACTGTAAAAATATGAACATTACTACAGGTAGTTCATTGATTATGATGTTATCCAAGATGTGTAACATTCAGTCATATCATGCTGAAGGGATATTCTCATACTGTATGGTTATTCAATGTATCGGATTGTTATTTTTTAATACAGATATTTACTAATGATTCCTTCCTGTGGATAAGTCAATAAATGAGGGGGTTGAAATAATTCGAATTTACTCCTAATTAATTCTTCTTGAAGTTGAGTTTTTGATTTTATTTATATATATGCAGCACATATGATATGCAAATGGTAATGATTACTAAATTTATTAATGAACTTATAAAGTTTTACTTAATATTTTATTCCATGAGTTGGATTTTGCTTTTCTATGAGGTGCTTTCGCCTCTTAGCTCAGAACAAGGCTACATACAAGCCCACCAACTTATAATGATCTACTACACTAGTAATGCTGGATATCCTGAGTTTGGTGTTGTCCAGTTTTATTGTATATTTTATGATATGTTGAAGTGGTGGGCATGTCTATAAACCTGGAAATGTTGTGTATATGTGGGTGATAAAATTGAATGTTTATTTAATAATAATTGAAAAAAATCTTACATTATTTTGTCATGATTTTATGTATTCTAAGGGATGAGTTAGGATTTATCAATTATTTCGTTGTATATTGTCTATTACAGATATTAGAATAAAGTTAATATAATGAAATAGTGCTTAAACAATAAAGAAGCTTTTGCCAAGTCGTCCTGCTTTATGATGTGGATGTCGACAATCAGGGAAAATAAGCAGTATAAGTATTCAAACCAAACTTAATCTTCTAAACAAAATATAAAATGACCTGAGTTTTTTTGTGAGCCTCATGTTTAAAAATTAGTTATAGGTTTTAATTACAGTAGTTTTTGAATTATATTTATTTTGCATGTCAGTGTGAACATTTATTTCGATAATTAGGTTTGTACACACTAAATAGAACATTGTCACTATGTTTCAATATTGAGTTACTATTTCTGGTATAGAGTATACCTTAAATTGAAAATCAAAGTTCGAACTTATCTTGGGGTGTTACATTAGATTCTCCAATTCAGCAATTTGCTTGAGATGTATTTTTGTTCTGATTGTCAAAATACTTTCTGCTTCTATGCATTTCTAGTGAGATTGTTTTCACTTTTTGCATTTTCGTTCTGCATCATCTGCTCATTTTTCGTGATTTTATTTTATACTTTTACTGACATTCAACCTGTTCTGCTTAGTTATTAGCGGTGATACCTATCCTAACAATACTTTAATTTACATAACTATTACATGAGAATATCGGTCAGAGACCAAAGAATTATCGATCAAAAGTTGGGGGATCCCCCAAAACAGAAACTGCGGTTTCGATTCATCTGCTCTTGTAACTTGCGCATCGCACACACACGGAATAACTATAGGTATAGTGGTTATAGCACTTAGGGACAGGTTTGAAAAGTGTGGAGATTTCATTATTGTGTATTTTAGGTTTTTTTAAAATAATTATATGCTTCATTTTCTGCTCAAATTCAGCAACAAGGTGTCGCAGACTAGATGACTCAATGAAGCTTGGGCTATCACTCATCAACTTTTATTTGTTTTAGTTAGCCTTATAATGTGTTTATTGCTTTACATTGGTGGCCGGCAAACCTCATGTGCTACTGGGCCAAACGTGGATTTTTTCAGTAGCGTGCGGGCAACATTAATTTCCGCCACTGGCTAATTCAGCTTCAAATAGTATCGCACCAACAACTCTTACTCTATTTCTGTATTAATTCTAACTGACGCCTTTGCTTTTGCTAGATATTACAACTCAAGAGCCCCTGTTACCACATTAATAAGAAATTTTTCTTTTGTTTTTTTTTGCCTTAAAATTGAGGTTGTTCAAAGGCCAAAATTTGTTCGTGAACCTCAGCTTGCTGAACATCTTTAACAGTGAAAATAAATATCTGAAACTGCATACTAATTCTACTGCATCCCATTGCCATAGTGACAGTTGAGTGGGGTGATAAATTAATTTGCGTCTCAGGGTTGTTTGCAGCATTTCAAACTTCTAAAATTCGTTGAATTCGTTGATTCGTTGTTCTCTGAATACAAATTTACTATAGCAACAAATATGTGAAGCAGATTGAACTACTGACAAAGTTCATTGTCATGGTTTTCATGTTGCTCCGTAACTTTCTCTTGTTTGTGTATCAGATATTTTTTATGAATACCTAGGTATTTACTACTGTATATCATAGATCTATATCTTATTGTCTCAAGTTTAGCGTATGTTCACTGCTATTCAGAGTTATTCGTTCATACAATTTGTATTTTACTTACTAACACGGTTAGTAAAACACTGGTATAGTAGTTGAATTTTTAAATTACAATTTTAATTGTTTTAGACTGGGTAGAAATAGAGTTGTTAGCTATTTTGCAAATCATTGCACAAAAATGAAGAAAAAATTTGATTGCTAGAAGCTTACAGAATATTTAAAACCGTATTCTCAAAACAAAGAACTTTCTTTTTGTAATAATAGATAGCATTTTGGTCTTCTTTTGGTAGCTGTGTTTACCCATCCTCTTACTAGATAAATATTTAATCAGTTATTGTAAATAACTTCACTTTACAAGTAGCTCAGCCATTCCATTCATTCATAGTTATTGAGATCATTTATTATCTTTCTGGCCAATGCATGTTTTGTGTTAGGATGTTTTATATTGTTTTCAAGACATTAATTGGGGTTGAAAAATTATTTAAAAATATAAATTTCACTTTGTCCATTTCTTCAGTTTGGATCCAAGCGAGTTTAAATCAAATAGGGAAATATAATAAATTAGTGGAGATAAGAATCAATAATATTTAATATATAGATATTCATTTCTTATTAGAGCTAGATAAGAATAAACTCATTACTTTTTCCTACTGTAACAAATTCAAAATGTCTGCTGATTTTGGCATTAAAGATAATGAACACAATACTTTGATGATGCAAAAGCTGGATGATATGAGGAAAGAAAAGCGACTTTCTGATTTTACAATCAAAGTTGGAAACGAAGAATTTCCTGTTCATAGGAATGTAATGTCAGCCGGTTCGGATTATTTCTATGCGATGTTGTCTCATGATAATTTAGAAAGCAATACAGGAATTGTTGATATGAAAGAAGTCGATGTCGATTCTGTGAAACTTAGCATTGATTACATTTACACTGGAAATGCTTCAATTACTTTGGAGAAAAGTGAACAAATACTCCATGTTGCAAACATCATGCAATTGTCAAGATTTTGTGAAAAGATATCTGAATTTCTTCAAGCACAATTAGGTCCCAAATCTTTCTTCATCATCCGACAACTCGCAATAAAGTTTAATATGAAGGGTTTAGTGAAAGCATGTGATCAATATGCTGTCGGCCATCTTGGATCAATAGCAAAAGTAGAGGAATTCAACAAACTTCATAACGAATATGTCATATTTTTGATCACCTGTGAATGGTCATTGTATTCAGAAGATTCTAAACTGAAAATTCTCCTACAATGGATCAAAGCTGATACTGAGTCACGAGCTGAGTATTTTATAGAAATGTTTGAGAAGCTCAATATTGACAAAATTACCCCCAGTTATGGATCATATTTAGCCAGAAATGATTCCTTTTGCTCAAGTTCTGCAGAATTTTTGAAATTATTATACTTGGCTAATAAATCGATTGATACAGAGAGCGAAGTTAATGTTTCTTTGTCTCTCCCTTTATCAGATGATGGTATATTACTTTTTGATAAGAAATCTACAACTGTGCAAGTATATAGCCCAATGGAGAGAACATTCAAAAGGTTGAAACAACTCAATAAAAACATCCTGAGTGGCAAATATACCGCAGTTATTTTGCAGAAACTCGTGTTTGTTCTTTTGCCAAGCAGAAAGGTTTATCGTGTGAATGTGTGGGATGCTGAATCAAGTTGGACTGAGGTGCAGAGTATGATGAATGGTCATGGAAAATATATTAGAGCTGCAGTTCATAACAACTTCATTTATGTTTGTGGGAATAAAACAATGGAGCGATACAATAACAATGAAAACATGTGGGAGAATGTTGAGTGCTCTAGTATCGATCCTAGCCAAAGTGCATTAGTTACATTCAGAGAGGAGATTTATTTTATTGGAGGCACAAATGGAGATAAAAAAGTTGATAAATATTCTCCGTCTATAGGATCTTGGTTATCTGTGGAACCAATGAATCTTGACAGAGGAACTCCTGCTGCAGCTGTATATGATGATCGAATCTATGTTGCTGGCGGGTTTTGGTGGTCATCAGAGCTATCAAGGACTGAATTCTTCAATCCAGATGATAATACTTGGACAAATCTTGCCTCAATGACAATTCCAAGGTTTGATTTCAGTCTTTGTGTTGTTAACAACAGTTTGTTCGCTGTTGGACATAGATCTGGGCCTCATTCAATCGAAAAGTACGATATTGGTAAAAATCAATGGGAGAAAGTGACTGATTTGACTGATATGGAGATTATATCCGCTGCTTCGATTGCAGTAAGAATCCCATTGTATTGAGTTGACTATAGATGTTATGTATGAAAAAGATATTTCAATGTTTCAACAGAAATAAACATTATGATATATTTATCTACTATCTACCATATATGCATATCTACATTAGGTTCTGCTTGAAGTTCACATAATTTCTCTATTTAATCAGTTAGACTTGTAATTGAGTAATTTATTCATCTTTAATCATATTTTTAGTTTGTTCTCATTTTAATCTAAAATTTTCTGTTTTTGATGGATGTTGATATTATTCAATATGGTTACCAATAGGTAACGTTCCTTTTATGGTGAAGTTGATATTTGCATAGCGTATGATCATTCGAAGGCAGTTATTAAATACAGTAAATGAAAACTATATGATTGTTTTATACTCCTATATTTTTATGACAAACCAAGCCCCAACCCCTTTACAGCACGTGGAATGTAACACAGAAAAGTTTTGAGCAACTACTGACAGTTATACACACATTTCTCCTTCCTGCAGATATGCCAATAAATAGGAGATGAAACAAGACTTAAAATAATTCGAATTTAAGCTGTCAGAGAAATAGCTGTAATATCTTCCATTTGAGTTTATTTGTCGGGTTTTTGTGTTTTATAACTATACATGCCGCAAAAATTCTATGGACGCGATAATGATTACTAAATTAGTTGATGATCTCCTGCAGTGTCTCATATACGCTGTAATATGAGGGTTCAATTTAACCCTTTTATGAGGTGCTTCAATATTTTAGCTCAAAACAAGGCTACAGACAAGGACGCAATGAGTAATAATGATCTACTTACCTTAGTAGTACAAGATATTCCAATTTTGTTTTCGTCCAATTTTATTATAGCAAAGTGAAGTGATAGTTTAGAACCTGACAACATTACATATATATGGCTGATAAAAATGAAAGTTCGTTTCATGTAGTATATCCTTGTATTTTCCGCTGTGATTTGATGTATTTCAACGAATTGATTATGATCTTTGACAAATGCATTGAATTGTCTATTACATTTTAAATTCATCGATATCAATTTAGGCTTGTAACGTTTTAATCTTATTTTTATAAACTTGTGATTCTGATTTTCGTGTTTTAGTTATACATATGCAGCGAATATGATATGCGCATGATGATGATGATGAATAATGATGATCTTCTAAAGCTTCAAATATATGTTTACATTTTATTCCTTGAGTTTTGCCTTTTTATGATATGCTTTCACATCTTAGCTCAGGACATGGCTCTAGCCAAGAATCCAATGAATAATAATGATTTACTTACCCTAGTACTGCAAGATCTCACAAGTTTAGTATTGTCCAATTTATTATAGCAAGATTGAAGTGTTAGTCATGGCTTTGAACCTGACAACATTAAATATATGTGGCTGATCATGGTGAAAGTTCATTTCATGTAGTAAAACTTTGGTTACTCTCGAAGTAAATGAACCAAGATGGCGGACACCGGAATGTAGTATGTGTACCAGGTTAAGGTTAGGCCATAATTTGATTCCAATTTCCCATATTTTAGCTCTATTATGAGTTTGGGTACTAGCCAAGTGACTCCCATAGTATTTGTAATTGAATTATACTTCACATACTTCGGGAGTTCCAAACTTTGTTTTTTTTTGTTGTGATTTTATGTAATCTTACTTATGAATTATGATCTTCTGTAAATACATTGTATATCGTCTATTACAGATATTAAAATACTGTTAACCTAATGAAATAGTGTTTAAATATTCAAGAAATATTGAGCGACTCCAGCTTCATGATGTGAATATTGGCAATCAAAGACCATCTACAGTATCAAACTAAACATTAATCTTAATGACAAATTATTAATAAAAAATATCAGGACTTATTGTGTACTTATAAATCTTCCCGGGTAGCTGTGTTTACCATCAGATTACCGAATAAATATTTAATCATTTAAAGAAAGTAAATATGAGAAGAAGCTTCAATTCACAAGTAGCTCAGCCATCCCATTCATTCAAAGTTATTGAGATCATTTATTACCTTTCTGGCAAATGCAGGTTTTGTGTTGGATGTTTCATATTGTTTCCAAAGCCCTAAATCGTGGAAAAAATTATTTTTGAAATATAAATTTATATTTTCCGTTCTCTGTATTCGTAAGTGGGTGTAATATAAGGAAAGGTAATAATTTAGTGGAGATAAAAACCAAAAATATTTAAAATATATTAATTTCTTATTAGAGCTATTTACGGATAAATTCATTACTTTTGCCTACTATAACAAATTCAAAATGTCTGCTAATTTTGGTGTTCAAGATAATGAACACAATAATTTGATGATGAAAAGTCTTGATGATATGAGGAAAGAAAAGCGACTTTCTGTTTTACAATCAAATTGGAAACGAAGAATTTCCAGTAACGTAATGTAATGAACGTAACGTCGGCTGGTTCGGATTATTTTGACGCGATGTTGTCGCATGATAATTTGGAAAGCAACACAGGAATTGTGGATATGAAGGAAGTCGATGTTGCAAATATCATGCAATTGTCAAGATATTGTGAAATGGTCGAAGAATTTCTCCAAGCAAATTTAGGTCCCAAATCTTTCTTCCTAATCCGAGTCGCAATAAAGTTCAATTTGAAGGGTTTAGGGAAAGCCTGTGATGAATATGCTGTCGGTCATATTGGATCAATAGCAATAGAAGCGGCATTCAACAAACTTGATAAAGATTATATGATGTTTTTGATCACCTGTAAATGGTCATTGTATTCAGAGAATTCCAAACTGAAAGTTCTCTTACAATGGATCAAAGCTGATACTGGTTCACGAGCTAAGTATTTTATAGAAATGGTTCAGAAGCTCCAAATTGATAAAATTTCAATTAGTTATGGATGTCGTTTAGTCAGAAATCATTCCTTTTGCTCAAAGTCTGCAGAGTTCATGAAATTATTATACTTGGCTAATGAATCAAATGTTAAAGATGAAAAAGTAACTGTTCCTTTGTTCTCCCCCTTATCAGATGATAGTTTATTACTATTTGATAAAAAATCTGAATCCGTGCAAGTGTACTGCCCAGTAGAAGAAACATTCGATAAGTTGAAACAACTCAATGAAAACATGCTGATTGATACATACATTACAGTTTATTTGAATAAATTTGTTTTTGTTCTTTTTCCATATAGAAAGGTTTATCGTGTCAATTTAGGAGAAGCCGATTCGAATTGGACTGAGATGGAGAGTATGATGAATGATCATGGACAATATATTAGAGCTACAGTTCATAACAACTTCATTTATGTGTGTGGAAATAACACTATGGAGCGATACAACAACAATGAAAACAAGTGGGAGAATGTTGAGAGTTCTAGTATCAAACCTAATGGAAGGGTATTAGTTCCATTTCAAGATGAGATTTATGTCATTGGAGGCGATTATAGAGGTGAAAAAGTTGATAAATATTCTCCATCTGTAGGATCTTGGTCATCTGTGAAACCAATGAATGTTGCCAAAGGAATTCCTGCTGCAGCCGTATATGATGATCGAATCTATATTGCTGGTGGGTGGAATAAGTCCGTTCTATCAAGTGCTGAATTCTTCAATCCAGATGATAATACTTGGACAAATGTGACTTCGATGACAGTTCCAAAGTTTAAAGGTTTAATTTCAGTCTTTGTGTTGTCAACAACAACTTGTTTGCTGTTGGAAATATATCTGGATCTTATTCTATTGAAAAGTACGATCTTGATAAAAATCAATGGGAGAAAGTGACTGATTCGACTGATATGGAGATTATGTCAGCTGTCTCGATTGCAGTAAAAATCCCACTGTATTGAGACTGTAGATAAAGGGTCGTCGGCAAACTACACCCCTACAGGAGTAATATAATCCGGCCCGCGATGCTTCACTGAATTATAGTAACAAAACGGCTGTTTTGACAATTGTATTCTTTACGTATCATAATTTATCGTGAGACACGTGTAGGCTAAATTATGTTATAATCTAACAGTATAAAATGCATGATTACTCGTTTATGAGCCTCCAGTTTAATTATATTTAGACAAATGGCAAAACATGCAGAAAAGTTGGTGCTAAGTGCAAAGGGTTTTATGGTGCCGAAAAATATTGAAATAGAATTTTTTGATATGCAATACAATGAGGAAATAAATCTATGTTCTATTCAAGAGATGCATCACTGCTTGCTTTTTATTATAAAAAATATTATCTGTTCGGTTTTCAACTTTCTAAAAATATGTGCGGTCGCCAATGACTTGCAACCCGTAATTTTGGCCCACAAGCGACAAATGGTTGCCGGCCCCTGTATTACAGACTGAATAAACAAGAAGAGGAATTATAGTTCATAGTTTTTTTATTGAACTGGATGAGCTTGAACTGGTCTTCAGCGAGTTTTTGGAAATTTAATGACATTCTCGTCAGGAACAATTTCAAATCACAGTTGTAGTTTCAAGTATTTTGTGGCGTCTGAGGCTGCCGCAAAACCATGGCAGGATTTCCAAACCATGGCCGCTTTGGCCAGCCCATGGCGACTGACATTTTAGCTGCCACAAACCAATGGCAGGCTGTCGATTGTACTCTGTACCTAACAATATTTATTGTGAGACACTTGTAGACTACGGTAAATTATATTAGAATCTAACAAGTATAAAATGCACAATTACTCGTTTATAAGATTATAGTTTAAATACAATTAGACAAATAGCAAAAAATGAAAAAAATTTTAGTATTTCTGGATCTTCACGGTTTGGTATTGTTCAATTAAATTGTAGCGTGATTGAAGTGGCGGGCATGTGTTTGGACGTGACAACATTTTATATATAGCCTATACCATTTCATGTATTTCAACATATGAATTATGATATTTTATAAATGCGTTGTATATTGTCTTTTGTCTCTTACATATATTAAAATACTGTTAACCTAATGAAATAGTGTTGAATAATATTGAGTGACTCAATCTTCATGATGTGGATATTGGCAATCAAAGACAATCTGCAGTATCAAACTAAACATTAATCCTAATACCAAATTATCAATAAAGAATATTGGGAGTTATTTGAAAGATTTACAATATTACATTTAGGTTTCAAGGTTTTGGAGTTGTTTTAATTTTGAAAGTTTGCATGAATCTTTCCATTTCAATAGGGACGTTTATATTTTCTAAATCGAACAATGTCAATATGAGTCACTTTATTGAGTTGGTATTTCTGATTATAGTATATAATTTGAATTAATAATTTAAGAATAAAATTGACTCGAGGTGTTTGAATGTAGCTAGCTTACATTGATTCTGTGATTTAGCAGTTTCATTGTGTGGATAGTCTCTTCAAGTAAGATTTTTGTCCAACCTCATTACTTCATTTTTATGAGTTTTTAGATAATTACCGGTAATCTGACTCTACTATGCCGGCTAAAATTTCGATAAGCACAGTGCACATGAGAATATGTTGTTTAAATATGTTGACCACCCAGTGTTGTATTAGTTTCCAAAAAACTTCAGAATATCGATGTTTTTCAATGTATTACGCACTCATAACCATTCTTATTCATTCAAAAGTTCTATGATACACACCACCGAGGTAACATTATAGCCCCTGATTGTCCGACCGTCTCTTGTATGTAGACACTTTTAAAAAATCATGGTTACATTAAGAGCATTCACAGTAATTAACATTCCTTTGTTTGTTCAATGACTCCATTGATTTTTTAGCATTCTTTGATTAGCTTGTCATATTCAGATCAATTTGGGTAAAGCATCTTTTTCATGCTATATTGTGAAATATCTTCAGTTGAAAAAGGGTAACGAGAGGATTATCTGTGTGTCTTAACTCGAAAATTCATACCCTGAATTGGAAATATGGGCATTGTGTTACACTTGTGTGCTTATACTTCATATGTAGAAACTACAAAACCGGTTTCATTTAAAATTCATCACTATTAATTTTCGCTTGTAACTTTTTCAATTTTTTCTTGAATTTTTTATTATTGATTTTTTTGTGTTTTCTGTATATGCAGCAAATCTGAAATGCAAATGGTGATGAATAATATATTTGTTGATGATCTAAAATTATAGTAAAAAAAATTATTCCATTACTTGGATTTCGCATTTCTGGGGCTCATTCACTTCTTAGCTCAGGACAAGGCTCCATGCAAGAACCCACTAATAGATAATGATCTACTACAGTAGTAATACTAGATATCCTGAGTTTGGTATCGTCCAGTTTTATTGTATATTTTATTATAGGTTGAAATGGTGGGCATGTTTTTGGACCTGGAAATAATGTATATTTGTGACTGATTAAAGTTTAAAGTTCATTTGATAAGTGAAAATTATGTAAGTAATAAATCATGATCTATCAATTAGTTCATTTTATACTCTCTATTACAGATATTAAAATAAATCTAACCTAATGAAATAATGTTTAAACATTAAAGAAGCTTTGGGCAACTCCTGCTTTATGATGTGGATATCGGCAATCAGGGAAAATCAGCAGTATAAGGATTTGAACTTAACTCAATCTTCTTAACAAAATATGAAATTACCTTTGTTTTATTTTGAGCTTTCTATTGGAAAGATTCACAAAATCAGGTTTTGATTGGCTTTTGAGTTAGTTTTAATTTTGAATTTTTAGTATGAACACTTTATTTCAATAATTATGGTTGTACACACTGAATAGAACAGTGTCAATATGTTTCATCATTGAGTTTGTTTTGCTGGTATATACTTTGAAGTAAAAATTGAATTTCGAAATTTTTCTGAAGTTTTACAGCTTCCATTAGATTCGGGCCACATTAATTTCCGCTTATGAGCAAACCACTGGCACATTAAACCTCAACTTCAAATAGTGACGCACCAACAACTCTTACTGTATTTGTGTGTTATTTCTAATTTATGGTTGGCACATGCAGTTTGGTTGTTATTACAACTCAATAGTCGTACAAGAGCCCATGTTGCCACATAACTAACGATATATATATATATATTTTCATTAAAATTCAGGTCAGTCAAGGCCGAAAAAAAATTGTCTGTGGACCTATGTTTGCCGAACACCGCCTCACATTGATTCTTGCAATGAATATTTGAATCTGCATACTAATTCTACTGAATCCCATTGTCATAATAACAGTTCAGTGGTGCTGATACAATCATTGGCAGCATTTTAAACTTTTCAAAATTATTTGAAAGCATTCTGTGAATACAAATTCAATATAGCAACATATGCAGGAAGCTGATTTAAATACTGACGAAGTTCATTGTCATGGTTTTTATGTGGCTTCTAACTTTCTTTCGTTCATGTATCAAATATTTTGTGAATACATATTTACTATATCATAGCACCATATGTTATTGTTCCAAGTTTAGTGTGTGTTCACTGCTATTCAGAGTTATTGATTCAGACAATTTGTATTTTATTTACTGATATGGTTAGTAGAACACTGATATGGTAGTAGTAGTTGAATTGTTGAATTCAATTGGTGTATTAGACTGGGTGAAAATAGAGGTGTTAACTATTTGGCGCAACACAGTATTGCACAAAAAAAAGTTGATTGCTAAAAGCTTACAGAATATTTGAAACTGTATATATCAGGACAAAGCTTTTTTGTAATAATAGTTAGAATTTAAAGTGAATATTCACTATACGAATATACCTATTCATTCATAGTTGTTGGGGGCATGTATTACCTTTCTGGCCGATGTAGGTTTTGTGTGGGTGTTTTATATTGTTTTCAATGCATTAATTGGAGTTGAAGAATAAATGTAAATTTCACTTTGTTTGTTTCTTCAGTTTATATCTAAGAGATTTTAAATAGAATAGGAAAATATAATTAGTGGAGATAAGAATTAAAAATATTCATTTCTTATTACAGCTAAATACGATTAAATTCCTCATATTGCCTACTGTAATAAATTCAAAATGTCTGCTAATTTTGGCATTCAAGATAATGAACACAATAATTTGATGATGGAAAAGCTTGATGATATGAGGGAAGAAAAGCGTCTTTCTGATTTTACGATCAAAGTTGGAGATGAAGAGTTTCCAGTTCATAAGAATGTAATGTCTGCTGGTTCAGATTATTTTGATGCTATGTTGTCGCATGCTAATTTGGAAAGTAACACAGGAATAGTTGATATGAAGGAGGTTGATGTCGATTCTGTGAAAGTTTGCATTGATTACATTTACACTGGAAATGCTTCAATTACTTTGGAGAAATGTGAACAACTACTCCATGTTGCAAATATCATGCAATTGTCAAGATTTTGCGAGAAGATCACAGAATTTCTCAAAGCGAGTTTGGGACCAAAATCATTCTTCGTTATTCGACAACTCGCTGTAAAGTTCAATCTAAGGGGTTTAGAACAATCATGTGATGAGTATGCTGTTGGCCATCTTGGATCCATAGCAAAAGAAGTAGAATTCAATCAGCTTGATAAAAATTATATTGAGTTTTTGCTGACTCATGATATGTCATCATATTCGGAAGATTCAAAACTCAAGAGTCTGCTACAATGGATCAAATTTGACGTAGAGACATGAGCTGAAGATTTTGTGCAAATGGTGGAGAAATTGGATATTAGTGAAATTTCGGCTAGTTTTGGTTCTCATTTAGCAAGAAATGATTCCTTTTGCTCAAGTTCTGTAGAGTTCATGAAATTATTGTACTTGGCGGATAAATCACCTGGTAAAGACAGGGATGCAAACATTCCCTCGCATTCTACCCTCGCCGAGAAAGGCATATTGCTTTTTGATACGAACACCACACGTTTGAACTTGTATCAACCTATTAACAGAAAATTGACTCAGTTGAAATACCTCATTGATTTTCTGCCAAAATGCAAGTACACTGCAGTTTGTTTAAAGAAATTTATTTTTGTTCTTCTGCCAGGAAAAAAGGTTTATCGTGTGAATGTCTGGGAAGCTGAATCAAGTTGGACTGAGATGGAGAGTATGATGAATGATCATGGAGAGAATATCAGAGCTGCAGTTCATAACAACTTAATTTATGTTTGTGGTGAGTACACAATGGAGCGATTCAACAACAATTTAAACAAGTGCATGAAGTGGGAGAATTTCGAGTGTTCTAGTATCAAACCCGATGAAAGTGCCTTAGTTACATTCGGAGACGAGATTTATGTCATTGGAGGCTATAATAGAGGTAAAAAGGTTGATAAATATTCTCCATCTGTAGGATCTTGGTCATCTGTGAAACCAATGAATGTTGGCAGAAGAACTCCAGCTGCAGCTGTATATGATGATCGAATCTATGTTGCTGGTGGGTGGAATAGATCATCAAAGCTTTTAAGTACTGAATTCTTCAATCCATATGATAATACTTGGACAAAAGTGACTTCGATGACAATTCAAAGGTTTAATTTCAGTCTTTGTGTTGTCAACAACAACTTGTTTGCTGTTGGAAATATATCTGGATCTTATTCTATTGAAAAGTACGATTTTGATAAAAATCAATGGGAGAAAGTGACTGATTCGATTGATATGGAGATTATGTCCGCTGCCTCGATTGCAGTAAAAATCCCACTGTATTGAGACTGTAGATAAAGGGTCGTCGGCAAACTACACCCCTACAGGAGTAATATAATCCGGCCCGCGATGCTTCACTGAATTATAGAATAAAACGGCTGTTTTGGCGATTGTATTCTTTACGTAACATAATTTATTGTGAGACACACATAGACTAAATTATATTATAATCTAACAGTATAAAATGCATAATTAGTCGTTTATGAGCCTCCAGTTTAATTATAATTAGACAAATGGCAAAACATGCAGATAAGTTGATGCTAAGTGCAAAGGGTTCGATGGTGCCGAAAAATATTGAAATGTAATTCTTTGATATATTCGTTGATTCTTTGATACAATGAATATTATCCGTTCGGTTGTCAACTTTCTACAAATATATGTGGCCGCCAATGATTTGCAACCCGTAATTTTGGCCCGCGAGCGACAAAAGGTTGCTGACCCCTGTATTACAGACTGAATAAACAAAAAGACAAATCATAGTTCATAGTTTTTTTATTGAACTGGATGAGCTTGATGGTCTTCAGCGAGTTTTTTGAAATTTGATAACATTCTCGTCAGGAACAATCTCAAATCACAAGTGTAGTTTCAAGTATTTTGTGGCGTCTGAGGCTACCGCAAAACCATGGCAAGATTTCCAAACCATGGCCGCTTTGACCAAAACTATGGCGACTGACATTTTAGCTGCCACAAACCCATGGCGAGCTGTCGATTGTATTCTTTACATAACATGATTTATTGTGAGACACGTGTAGACTACGGTAAATTACATTATAATCTAACAAGAATAAAATGCACAATTACTCGTTAATGAGATTATAGTTTAAATATAATTAAACAAATGGCAAAAAATGCAGAAAATTTTATGCCAAGTGCATAAAATGAGCTACCAAAGGTTTCCGACCCCAGCTGTAGATGAAAAATCTGTTTTCGTGGTTAAAAATTTTTATGCAATATTTCTATAATGCATGACACGTAATATCTATCATTTAATATTGATTCCTGCTTAAAGAATTTCTTGATTTTTTTCATTTCTGTAAATTATGTGATGATCTCCAGAAGTTTCAAATAATAGTTTGAATTTCATTCTATGAGTTAACTTTTACTTTTTATGAGGCACTTCCATATCTTCGTTCACAACAAGGCTTCAACCAAGAACTAACAAAGTAATATTGATCTACCACATCAGTAGTTCTGGATATTTACGGTTTGGTATTGTTCAATTATATTGTAGCGTGATTGAAGTGGCGGGCATGTCTTTGGACGTGACAACATTTTATATATATACCATTTCGTGTATTTCAACAAATGCATTATGATCTTTTATAAATGCGTTGTATATTGTCTTCTGTCTCTTACAGATATTAAAATACTGTTAACCTATTGAAATAGTATTGAATAATATTGAGTAATCCGGCCCGCGATATTGGCAATCAAATCTGCAGTATCAAACTAAACATTAATCTTAATAACAAACTATTAATAGAGAATATTAGTATTTATTGTAAACTTATATTGGGGAGATTCACAATATTACATTTACCGTAGGTTTCAATGTTTTGGATTAGTTTTAATTTTGAATGTTTGCATGAATCTTTCCATTTCCATATGGACGTTTGTATATACTAAATCACACAATGTCACCATGAGTCACTTTATTTTGTTTGGGTTTCTGATTCTGGTATATAATTTGAATTATTAATCGAAGGTTAAAATTGTCTTGAGGTGTTTGAATGCAGATAGCTTACATTGAATTATCTGATTTAGTAGTTTCATTATGTCTATTGTCTCTTCAAGTAAGATTTTTGTCCACCCTCATTAGTTCATTTTATGAGCTTCTAAGTTTTTTAGATAATTAATCTGATTGACCCTACTATGCAGGCTAAAATTTTGATAAGCACATGAGAACATGTTGTTTAAATATGTTGACTACCCAGTGTTGTATTAGTTTCCAAAACACACAGCAGATGATGTTTTTTAATGTATTACGCACTCATAACCATTCGTACTTATTCAATTGTTCTATTATACATATCACCGAAGAAACCGAAGCCCGTGATTGTCTAATCCGGCTTTTGTATGTAGACACTTTTAAAAAATCTCGGTTACATTAAAAGCATTAACAGTAATTAACATTCCTTTGTGTTTACAATGGCACTTTTTTACTAAAACACTGACTCTTGTGGGTTTTTTTTGTATTCTTTAATTAGCTTTTCACATTCATTATGCTAGATACAACAGATCACCATCTAAGGTTAAAGTATCTTTATCATGGGCCATTATAATGCTTCTAATGAACATTCTTTGGAGAAATGTGAACAACTACTCCATGTTGCAAGTAATATGCAATTATCAAGATTTTGTGGGAAGATCGCAGAATTTCTTGAAGCAAATCTAGGACCCAAATCATTTTTCATTATCCGACAACTCGCAGTAAAGTTCAATCTAAAAGGTTTAGTAGAATCGTGTGATGAATATGCTGTCGGCCATCTTGGATCCATAGCAAAAGAAGAGGAATTCAACAACTTTATAAAGACTATGTAATGTTTTTGATCACCTGTAGATTGTCATTGTATTCAGAAGATTCTAAACTGTCGGTTCTCTTACAATGGATCAAAGCTGATACTGAGTCTCAAGCTGAGCATTTTGTCGAAATGGTGAAAAAGCTCAACATTAACAAAATTACTCCAAGTTATGGACTTTATTTAGCTAGAAAGGATTCTTTTTGCTTAATTATTGCAGAGTTTATGAAATTATTGGCTAATAAATCAATTGATAAAGATTACGAAGTTGATGTTTTATTGTCCCTTCCTTTATCATATGATGGTATATTACTTTTTGACGAGAAATCTACAGATGTGCAAGTATATAGCCCACTGGAGAGAACATTTAATAAGTTTAAGTTAAACTAACTGAATGAAAATATGCTGAGTGTTAAATACACTGCAGTTAATTTCAAGAAATTTGTTTTTGTTTTTCTTCCAAACAGCAGGGTTTATTGTGTCAATGTATGGGGAGCTGAATCACGTTGAACTGAGATGGAGAGTATGATTAATGATCACGGACAATATATTAGAGCTGCAGTTCATAACAACTTCATTTATGTTTGTGGGAATAACAAAATGGAACGATACAACAACAATGAAAGTAGTTGGGAGAATGTGGAGTGTTCTAGTCTAATCCTGTAGTCTGTACATTTTATTCATTCAAAAAACTGTCAGACTTGTTAATGTAATTCATTCAAGTTTTCATTCAAGGGATATTCTCATATTGTATGGTTATTCGATATTAATATATCGCATTGATATTTTTTAATACAATTAAGGTACCGGTAGTTCATGAGAATAGTTTATTGGCAACTGCTGTCGGATATGTACAAATTTCTCCTTCCTGCAGATAGGTTAATAAATAGGGGATTGGGACAAGACTTGATATCATTGAAATTGACACTGTCAGCGAAACAACTTGAAGAGAAAATTATTCAAACAGATTGTCTTTGGAAAAACTACCATACCATGTGTTTAAATCTTATGTACCTTTGCTCAAACAAATTTTTTCTCGGTCGAAATTTTACAGAGCTTGCTCATGCGTTCATATCTTGAATCGGACATATCTCCAATTTACCATAGAATGGGTTTAAAAATCATTTTTACCTTTCCTCAAAAATTCATACCCTGAATTGTAAACATGGGCATTGTGTTCTTAAAATATTGTACATGGCTCGGTACTGATACTCCATATGTAGCAACTATAAAACCTAAAACCTATTGTATTTTTTCCAACTTTTTTTTATTGAATTTTTTATTCTGATTTTTGTGTTTTATTTCTATGTATGCAGCAAATACGATATGCACATGATAAGGATTTCTGAATTTGGTCATGAACTTATTAAGTTTTATTTTAAATTTTATTCCATGAGTTGGATTTTGCCTTTTTATGAGTTGATTTCGCTTCTTAGCGAAAGGCTCCATACAAGAACCTACTAACTGATAAGGATCTACTAAACTAGTAATACTGGATATCCAGAGTTTGGTGTCGTCCAGTTTTATTGTGTATTTTATTATAGGTTGAAATGGTGGGCATGTCTTTAGACCTAGAAATATTGTATATATTTGCCTGATAATGGTGAAAGTTCATTTCATACAGTAGAACTTTGTATTTTACATTGCGATTTCATGTATTTTTAATATGAGTTGGAATTTTATTTGTTATATTTTATTGAATTTTACCTTTTAATGAGGTGCTTTTATATCTTAAAATCAGAACAAGGCTCTAGCCAAGAACCCGATTAGTAATAATGAACCTTAGTAGTACAAGATCTTCCAATTGACTAAATTATTTTTAAAATATAAATTTCTATTTTTCTGTTCCTTGTATCCGTGAGTCAGTATAAAATAAGGAAATGTACTTAATAATTTTGTGGAGTTAGGAATCAAAAATATATTCATTTCTTATTAGATCTAAAAAGAATAAATTCATTACTTTTGCCTACTGTAACAAATTCGAAATGTCTGCTGAGTTTGGCATTCAAGATAACAAACACAATAATTTGATGATGCAAAAGCTTGATGATATGAGGAAAGAAAAGCGACTTTCTGATTTTACAATCAAAGTTGGAAATGAAGAATTTCCAGTTCATAAGAATGTAATGTCAGCCGGTTCCGATTATTTTGATGCGATGTTGTCTCATGAGAATCTGGAAAGCAACACAGGAATTGTTGATATGAAGGAAGTCGATGTTTATTCTGTGAAAGTTTGCATTGATTACATTTACACTGGAAATGCTTTATTTACTTTGGAGAAATGTGAACAACTACTCCATGTTGCGAATATATTGCAATTGTCAAGATTTTGTGAAATGATCGCAGAATTTCTCCAAGCAAATTTAGGTTCTAAATCTTTCTTCATCATCCGACAACTCGCAATAAAGTTAAATTTGAAAGGTTTAGAAGAATCATGTGATGAATATGCTGTCGGCCATCTTGGATCAATAGCAAAAGAAGAGGAATTCAACAAACTTGATAAAGAATATGTCGTGTTTTTGATCACCTGTAAGTGGTCATTATATTCAGAGAATTCAAAACTAAAAGTTCTTTTACAATGGATCAAAGCTGATACCGAGTCCCGAGCAGAGTATTTTATAGAAACTGTTGAGAAGCTCCAAATTGATGAAATTTCAACTAGTTATGGATGCCATTTGGTCAGAAATGATTCTTTTTGCTCAAAGTCTGCAGAATTCATGAAGTTATTATACTTGGCTAATAGATCAAATGTTAAGGATGAAAAAGTAACTGTTCCTTTGTTCACCCCGTTATCAGATGATGGTTTATTACTATTTGATGAAAAATCTGAATCTGTGCAAGTGTACTGCCCAGTAGAAGAAACATTCAATAAGTTGAAACAACTCAATGAAAACATGGTGATTGATAAATACATCGCAGTTTATTTGAGGAAATTTGTTTTTGTTCTTTTCCCACATAGAAAGGTTTATCGTGTCAATTTAGGGGAAGCCGATTCAAGTTGGACTGAGACGGAGAGTATGATGAATGATCACGGACAATATATCAGAGCTGCCGTTCATAACAACTTCGTTTATGTTTGTGGGAATAACACAATGGAGAGATACAATAACAATGAAAACAAGTGGGAGAATGTTGAGTGTTCTAGTATCGAAGCTAATGAAAGTGCATTAGTTACATTTAGAGATGAGATTTATGTCATTGGAGGAATTAATAGAGATGAAAGAGTTGATAAATATTCTCCACCTGTAGGATCTTGGTCATCTGTGAAACCAATGAATGTTGCCAGACGAATTCATGCTGCAGCCGTATATGATGATCGAATCTATGTTGCTGGTGGGTATTGGGAGACCGTTCTATCAAGTACTGAATTCTTCAATCCAGATGATAATACTTGGACAAATCTTGCTTCAATGACAATTCCAAGAGTTGAATTCAGTCTTTGTATTGTTAACAAAAACCTATTTGTCGTTGGAAATTTTTCTGAACCTCATTCTATTGAAAAGTACGATCTTAATAAAAATCAGTGGGAGAAAGTGACTGATTTGACTGATATGAAGATTAGGTCTGCTGCTTCGATTGCAGTAAGAATCCCACAGTATTGAGTGGACTGTAGAGGCTATGTATGATAAACGTTATTAATCAGTCGAACTTGTTTATGTAATTTTTAATTTGTTCTCATTTTATTCTGATATTTTCTTCCACTGTAAATATATGAAATATGCATCTTTGTTGTGTGTTAATATTATACGGACATGGTTTCCAATCTGTAAACAATCATTTTTATAGGTTTAGGATGTGTTTAACCGCAGTTGATGAATATTCGATGATATTAACAAAACTGGTTAGTATAGTATAGTAGTATAGTACTTTCAAATTTTTTAATATAAGTTTGTTTAAAGCAAGAACTCAACAATACGCAGAGGTTGCTCATGCGTTCATATCCTGAAATCAGAACCGATCAAAATTCATCGATATTAATTTACTCTTATAACTTTAAACTTTACAATATATTCTTACTGATGTTATGTTTCAAATTTATTTTCTATATAAATTATGCAGCAATAATTATATGCACATGATTATGATTATTAAATTATTTGATGATGTTCTTAGTTTCAAATATAAGTTTGAATTCTATTCCGTGATTTGGAGTTTGCCTTTTCCATGAGTTACTTCTTAGCTCAGGACAAGGCTCCATTCAAGAACCCACTAACTGATAATGATCTACTACAGTAGTAATACTAGATATCCTGTGTTTCGTATCGTTCAGTTTTATTGTATATTTTATTATAGGTTGAAGTGCTGGGTATGTCTTCGAACCTGGAAATATTGTATATTGTGGCTGATGAAAGATACATTATACTCATATACCTAGCCGTAGGATCTGACCATATATTTGAATTCCATTTTTGGGCTCTGAATTAATCTGAGTAATAGAACAACTACAACTAAACCTTGAAGATCCTATTGTGCCATATAACTTCTTACATTTATATATACCACACTTATACATATCATATCACTAAAGTCTGTCATAAAAATATTTTTGAACATTCTCTATTTTTCTGTGACACGCCAGATCAATATGTTCCTATGCTTGCACTGACTACTATGACCATGCAAAGAGTAGTTGGTTTAATAAAATGTTTGATTTTGGCATCACGAAACGATTAAGCCTACGATATATATTGAGGTTTAATATTAATATCGTTTTTTTCAGATTCAACTTGAATTGAAATATATGAAGTCAAATGATTTATACTTTCTCATCTATAATATGCAGATAGACGATTTTTTTTTCATTTTTAAGATTTTTGTTTCATCTCCTATTTAAAATATAATCGAAAAGGTTGTGAAGCTTGAACTATGGCATTCAATTTGAGTATTGATAAGAATTCACACAATACATCGATGATGAAAAAGCTTGATAATATGAGGAAAGAAAAGCGTCATTCTGATCTCACAATCAAAGTAGGAAGTGAAGAATTCCTGGTTCACAGAAACATAATCTCCGCTGGTTCTGATTATTTTGATGCGATGTTGTCTCATGATAATTTAGAAAGCAACACAGGAATTGTTAATATGAAAGAAGTCGATGTCGATTCTGTGAAAATTTGCATTGATTACATTTACACTGAGGAGGCTTCAATTACTCTGGAAAAATGTGAAGAGCTTTTCCATGCTGCCAGCATTATGCAATTGTCAGTACTTTGTGACAATATAATTGAGTCCTTGAAGAATAAGTTGAATCCAAAATCATTTTTTCAAATCAGAGGAATCGCGAATAATTTAAACCAACCAACGCTAAAGAAATCCTGTGACGATTACGCTTTCTCGAATCTCGGAGCCTTGGCAAATCAGGAAGAGTTCAATAAGATAGACTTTGAATATATTTCAATACTGGTTGGACGGAACAATATATCTTACTCGGAAGATTCTAAACTTTCTTTGTTTCTAACATGGATTAAAAGTGACCCTGAGAACCGTAAAAAGTACATCGTCGAAATGGATAAATTGATGCAACTTTCAAAAGTATCTTCTGAATATGCGACATATTTGTCTGAAAAAGATCCGATCTTTCAAGAGTCAACAGACCACATGAAAATGCTGATTCTAATGTTTTCTAAAACCAAAGGGGAACCAGCAGCGATTCCTATGCATGTTCCGGCTGCAAATAACACTTTGATACTTTTCAATAAAAATTTGTTGAGTATGAGAACATTCCAACCAAATATAAAAGGTTTGTCAGGCACGATTTCCATCAAACGGGATCTCACGGGATATCATCAAAGTTTCACAGCTGTTGTTTGGAAACAAAACCTGTTCGTTTTTACGAGTTCTGCAAAAGTATATCAATGTGCGTTTCATGTTAATGGATTCACAAATTGGTCAGCAAGGGCAAACACTAAATTCTCTCACAGCCAGTTTCTGAAGGTCGTTGTTTATAAAGATTTTGCTTATATTGTTGGCGATAACTTGATGGAAAAATATAATCTCACGAATGACATATCAACCAAAATTGACAATATCGCGGTTGTGTGCTCTTATTGTTCTTTGGCAGAGTGTGGGGGATTTATCTATGTTTTAGGTGGCCATACAAATTCCACACATAGTGGGAATTTAAGATCTGTCAACAGATACTGCCCGGCATCATCCTGCTGGAACGTGGTGAGGTCGATGAACGTTGCAAGACAGATTCCGGGAGTGGCTGTTTATAATGGAAAAATTTATGTCGCTGGTGGATACGACACTGCCAAATCATTGTCAAGTTGTGAATACTTTGATCCACAAACTAACAATTGGACAAACTTGCCGTCGATATCAGTTCAAGGTACTGAGAAGTATGATTTCCGTAACGGGAACTGGAACAATGTTACAGAGCTCGGAAATTTGAACATAGAAGCATCCGCTTCCGTGTCTTTGTATTTAGAATCGACCTAAATATTCTTTTTACGGATTGGTTTGCTTGTATAAAATATGATCTACTGAATGCTTGATTATTACAACTTCACTTTCCATATGTAGTGCCTAATGTGGTTTTTGCTCGGCGGGTGACCTCGACTGGCGTTGATTCAAATGTTATACACTTTAAATATATATCCGCCAACTCAAGAGCCTCTCGACGAACATCCGACATTTGTTCCATATTTCGTAGAGTGCTGGCCGAGTTAGATGAGACGCATTATTTACTTTTATGTGTTATTTTCATAACATGTTCAATTCATTTCTTATTTTGGTCAAATATCATTTGTTTTATTTGTATAAATACCGTTTCAGCCCTCTTGCGTGAGGCAGGCCAGGGTTACTGGCATGTACCGCAATAAAATGACTCATATTCAAAATATCTGTGATATATCCGACAATGACGCATCTTCAACAATCAAACCTAGTACGCCGCCATCGTGTAAATTATCTAATCATTGTCAACCGGGCATGACATAGCATGTAGGTGGCTCCCGTCTATATTTACGAATTGGCCAAGGTTGATAAGTTTTCCATTTATTTCACCGAAAAAAGTTGTTACCAGGTGTGATGATGTCAATCGGCCTTGAGACAATTTCCCCCTGTTATTTACGATTAATATGTTATGGTAGATAACATAGGCCATAGTATTTAATTTGATAGGTAAGTAAATCACAGACGCCACTTCCATCACAGTAAAATTCGAATGAGGCGATTCATTGCATACGTCAGGGGTCGGCAACCTACGGCCCGCTGAGTAATATAATCCGGCCGCGATGCTTCACTTGATTTTTATTATAAAAAGTATCATCCGTTCGGTTTTCAACTTCCTAGAAATATGTGTGGCCCGCCAATGACTTGCAACCCCTCAATTTTGGCCTGTGAGCGACAAAAGGTTGCCAACCCCCGGACTACGTCATGCCTTTCCCCCACTACAAAAAAGATAAAAACGCACTGAACGGTATGTGCTAAATGACGTCCGCAGCGCAAAAAGTGTTACGGTCTGATGGCCCTCTAATATGATCTCAAATATGTACAGTCCCCGACTTACGACGTTGTTCCGTTCTTGAGAAGCGGTGTAACCCGAATTTCAGTGTAAGTCGTACCATTATACTGTACAGTACATAAATTACTCTATACGTATCGTGCTGTATCAGAAACATCTGTTTTACACTTTGAGTCCATAACAAAGGGCAAAAAGTATAAAAAAAAACGATCAAACAAGTTACGAAAAAAAACGGCTTAGACAACCAAAAAGGCGTACAGTATCACTGAAACCGTGTACCATGTGACTGGAGCTTGGTGATTATTCGTTCGTAATAGTTAGCAATTGTCTACGTCATTCACGATGTAAATGACGAAAACCAATGAGCCCAAAGCACTGATTTTCTTGATCACAATGATCCAGTTTGAGGGCCTAGATATTACAGTACAGCAGGGGTCTCCAACTCAAAACATGTCGCGGGCCACTTTTTGGAATTTATCCACCACGCGGGCCGCAAGCCAATAAATTCACAAATGAGAAGCGCCTGGCATTACAGGTATACTGGTAAGTTACCGTACCGCATATGAATATCGGGGAAAACATTTATTTATTTTTTTTGCCCTGATAATGGAGAAGTGACACGGATCACTTGGTATTTCAATAGATGTTAAAATTGAATGGAGAAGAACAGATCATTGCCACGGGACATGTTAAAGATATGACAGTCACTGTAACACAATTTGTACCCCGATTTAGGTGTTGTTACGTTTACGCATTTTATTTTGTGACGTTTTTTTATGTGAAATGGTACCTGACCCGGTGATATTTTAATTGTTGTTGAAATATATTAACAAAGAATGGATCATTGTCACAGGACCTAAAAAATCTATGACAGTCCTTGTACCGTCACGGTACCCCGATAAAGGTAAGTCACAGCATTTAATTTTTGAGGAATTGCTTTGCGTGTATATATATTTGAGCATTGCTCTCTTGTATTTCAAGTGTTCACAATCAGCAATTTGATATTTCGACTCCATAATAAGTATAACATACGATGAAATATTTCATAGAAACAAAATAAATACAAAAGAGCTATGCTTAAATATATGGAAACATAGCGTCGCATAGTTGCAAATTTGGATGACGTCATAGCACACAAAAAAACGAATCCCATGCAGCTTACCAGAATATTTGAAAAGAATAAAAGTAATAGCCTTCTAGCGAAAAATTTAATCTTTGGGCACTGAAAAATTTCAAAGCAATTGGTCCGGTAATCAGAGAGAAAAGCGATTTTTTTTCTGTGACAAAGAACAACAACAGCAGCATAATATTAAAACTATCCATAGGTTCACTTACATAAAGGCTCGGTAAAGAAAACATTTAGTAAGGTTTAAAACGTACAGATTTTAGATTGAAAGATGTTGCCAGAAAAAGCGGTAAGTGAGATACCGCAGGTACAGATATGTTGCTTACCTGTTACTCGGTGGATGTTGCGTTGATCGGTCGACCCGAACATTCTAGAAACGTGCACTGGGAAATCAACGAGTCCGCGTCGATTTGTATGCAGTATGTCAACAAATAGCGAGATGTCAACAAATTTTCGGTCGGAAGACCGTGCATTTTTCCTTGTGGCAACTTTAGGACGATTGTATGGAGTAAAACAGCATTTTGAATACAGTCAAGCAATGTGTAAGATAAATGTATGAATGTAAATGCAGTATGTCAACAAATAGCGAGATGTCAACAAATTTTCGGTCGTAAGACCGTGCATTTTTACTTGTGGCAACTTTAGGACGATTGTATGGAGTAAAACAGCATTTTGAATACAGTCAAGCAATGTGTAAGATAAGTATAATATGTCTATTTATAGCAACATGTATTACAGATATACTTTACTCCTAGTGGGAATCGAAAATTTGTTTGATATATGGTTGAAAAGACTTGCGAGGGCAAACAAGCTTCGTTCATGGCAGCGTAGACGGCCACAGAGACGGATTAAGGCAATGAGACACGCTAGTCTGCTCCCATTTATGAGACCCTTCTCTGACACTATACAAGGCTCCATGTGTTCCCATAGGCTTTTTCCGTGCGTAAAACTTTGCGTAGACTTGAAATTGTCTTTCATTCCCGATTCAATGCTTACTATGAATAAAGCTCAGTTTCTGCGATTTGTAAATCACAAAATTTGCAAGATTGCCAAAATAGTTTGCGTCAATATACCTTTAGTCTACTTTTGTATGCCCCCTGCCCCCGCCTTTTTTTCGTGCTAATCAACGACCCCGCCGGCGCATGACTTGTTCAGCTGATGTGTGAAGTCACGAGTCATCGTCCGATTCCGAAAGTAATGTTACCAATCTTCCACTTTTTAGTTGGATTTTATCCTAAGTAATCTACTTCTACACCGGCGATAAGCAGAAATTGAATATACCATTTTAATACCCGGCTTGGACCGGAAAGCTATGTACTGTTGTGTGGATTAAGTCGCATTATTCTCCTTTTCTCGGGATAAATATTGAAGTGTGATAAATTCCTTTGCTAAATAATTTTTCAAGAAATTGTCTACTTTAATAATTTGTAATTCTTGAATTTTAGTACGAAGTTATTCACAAATCTAAGCACTCCCATTGGTAATCATTCTGTGCTACTGTAAGTATGATAGCGTTAATAGATAGCAATCATTAATATCTGATGTATAATAATTATAAATAAATAATACTTCACATTTCACAGAAAGCGTAAGATCTCAAAGCGAACGAACGAAAAGCCTGACAACCATTCATTTGCCACACTCGTCGCGGTATCATCCATTACACCCCTGCTTTTGGATGCACTTCGAGCGATTTTGCTCAGATCCGGCCATGAATTTAAAACAGGTAATCTTTTTGAGAAAACATTAATGCTCATTTTATTGTTCATATTGCTGTTTTGAGCCTTTTTTATAACGCAAGCTATGCGTTTTCATGTCCTCGCTCCAGAAAGTGTAAGCAGTGACTGTTGTATCTAATTCTGAGATGTATTCGATCGACTAGCTAGTAATACACAATTGCGAATCCCATTATACTTTATTCTCGAGATTTGGACTATAGAACTACAGGTAATAAACAACTCTGCGGTAGGCGTATTTCCAAAGCTTGGCACGGTGTTACGTCAACCGTCAAACCAAATTATTTGCGCTCTTTTCCATCACTCGAAAGTACTCACGTCAAACCCCACATCATTTTGCGTTTTTATTTACAGGCGAGAAAAATTGAGTCAAATTCGAGCGCACGAGACGGGCGGCGACCCTAAACAGCGAAGTTGAGAGCACAATACTCTCCATTTGGGAAATGCTCGAATTATTATCTAAATCTCATCTCATTGGTATGTTTTAGTCTCAGAATTTTGCCAAATCTTTCATTGGGTGCTTTCAAGCTAGCGCTCAGAACAAGTTCTTTGATAAAGCAGTCCATTGAATTGGATAAATAGTCGAGTTTTATTGACTAATTGGAGTTATACTATGGCTGAACCCATTTCTCTATACCTCTTCGTACCTGTCTTTGTTGATTCTCTGAACACGTCGTGTTAGACTCTGGTACCAGTTTCAAATAATTTAATATATCCGAGTGTCATCAATCGTGTTCATAATGATTTTGAATATATCAGAGTGTTATGGTTCGTGTTCATTTTCATTTTTTTAACATGTACATTTTCAATATATCCGAGTGTCATAATTAGTGTTCATGTTCATTTTTAGGCCAAAGAATATGATCGTCCAGGTTCGTTCATTTTTATCAGAAAGGTGGAACAAATGGCCGGCGGAACCCCTTTACGTGGCCCACAAGAGACTTGGTAATCTCAATACATTTCGAATGCTTTTCCGTTTTGTAACGACCCAATCGGCACTCTCGGCGTCGTTATACTGGGATGAAAACTCGTTTGACAAAGATTCACATTAAAATGCCTACAAGAAAAAAGCCAGATTGATTATTAATGGCGGAATGTTTTAGTAAAGCAG